GAGGAATAGGGCCTAAGCCTGGAACGGTTGAGTCCCGCTTGGACCAACGATAGGCTGGCCCGCGGCCGATGGACTAGGTGTCAGACCGCACTGACAGCAGAGCTACACAGCCAGAAAATCTACCTGACTATAAATTTTCCCGCTTTCTTTTCTTTTCTGACATCGTTCTTTTTCGCTTTCCTTTTTTTCTCTTTTTCTTTCTCTCTTTCTTTTTCTTTTTCTTTTTCTTTTTCTTTTTCTTTTTCTTTTCTTTCCTTTTCTGCACAACCGCGGACGCACGCGGAGTAGTATATAACTAACAGTAGCAGATTTGGTCAGTCCTTTGGGCTTGGTATCGAGGACCCCCCCTGAAGATGATCGGTTGGCAACCGATCGAAACGCGGCGTAGGGGGAAGCCGCTGGTTGGAAGGTGGAGGCTGACACTTACGTGTCATGCATGTGTTCGCCCACAGCTGATGGGCAGACSGATGATTGTATTGTGTTTATCGTTTATCTTACGAGGGCTTCATGCAGATCTTGCGAATCAGTTGTCTCGTTCTCAGCAGACTGTGGATGTGTGCATGCAGGTGATCACTTTGTGACGACTCTTTGATCCGAGTAAGAGGATTGGGGCGATAACCGACCGGGAAGGACACCTAGGACGGTGGTCATTATTATAACTAACGAAGAGTGATAGAGGAGGAGTAGGAACGAGGGTGATGTAAGATAAGATGGGATGCTATACGTGTGGCCAAGATGGCCATTTTGCGAGAGATTGTCCCCAGAGATCAGGCGCGGCGGCGGATCATAATAATAATAATAATAATAATAATAATAGCGGCTATAGATACAATGGACTATCCTGGCAACAGAGGAAGGACGTGGAGGATATCGGTTGGATCAGGGAACTGTGCTCAGAGATTGCTAGGGAGAGGAAGGAGAGAGAAGAACGGCAGAAGGAGGAAGAGCGTCAGAAGATTGAAGGGGAAAGACGAAGGAGGGAAGAAGAACTACACCAGCAACACAAATCTGAGATTGAAAGACAAGGTGAGATCCGTGATGCGAGGCTGATGACAGCAATGACCGCACAACTCAAGAGCCTGCATGACAAATTGGCGGGCCAGATGGAAGAAGTGCGATCGAAGATGCAAGCCCGGGACCAACAGAGGGAGGACGTCGGTAAATTAAGGAACGAGGTTATCAACCTCGAAAGGGAACCGGAGAAGGAAAAGGAAGAATTGAAGAAGAAGCTTACCCAACTACGGAAGCTGAAGGAGGAACGAGATCAGGCTCGTGCGAGAAAGAAGGTGATGGAATTAGAGATGGAATGGGAATTAGAACAAACTCGAAAGGAAATCGAACTGGAAACCGATGAATTTGCGCCGTCATCGTCGACAAGACCTCCTAGAAAGCGAACGACAGAGACTCCGGCAACGCCTGCACGACCACGACGGGAGAGGAGGCCGAACATGGGGATACGATTCGAAGAACCGGCAACACCAATCACGCCTATGAAGACAAGATCTCAAACGAAGAAGAATCAGGTTTTTGACAAAGAATCGCTAATCACTGGCTGGAGGGATATCACCAAGGGCGGTACCAAAACGAGCGTGGTGGATTTTTGCATGGCCATGAGAAGCTACCTTCGGACCCGATCGATGGCGGAGCTACAATGCATATGTGACGAAGAACGTACTGAGTACGTGACATGGGACAAAGCAATCAAGGGCCTGATTTCTAACAAGATGCAGGAGACAATTCTCCGCACAAATGCGGAATCGGATGGAGTAGCGGAGGAAGAGGGAAGTCCGATGGGTACTCCAATAGGAGATCTGGATCTAGGAAACATGTGACAGCCTGACCTCGACCATACCTGGGCGATATGGCACTCGCTGGTCGAATTTAGGAAGTTGAGTAGGGAGAAAACGATCTGTGATCTCATAGATGCTGCGATGAGATGTGCAATTGTGATCCTGACGCTACTCGGAGAGATACCGTGGGCTGCGAAATTCAGAGACCTTTGGGAGGATGATAGGATCGAGTGGGCCAATCCTTGAAGATGCGTGTATGCGCTGATCTCGGCGAAAAACCGGAAGGTATACATAGGACGCACTAGTCGGGATCTCAGTTCCAGATGGAAGGAGCATATTACCTGTAGCAGAGGAAAGGAGAGTAAGAGCCAATCGCTATATAGATGGCTTAGAAAGATAGGGACAGAGGAATATGTAGCCTTACCTCTCACTAAGGCCGAATATGAATCAGATTTGATAAGGATTGAATGCTGTTTAATTAGGTGGTGGTCGCCGACGCTGAACTGCCAAGCGAAGAGAGCGACACGTCCGAAGCGACGTAAGAAGAGGAAAGGAAAGCGAGAGAGGAAAGGAAGAGGACGAACACGGGACAGGAAGGGAAGGATTCTGAGATTCGAAGACGAGACGGGGAAGGCAACTACCAGATTGGCGGACTATCTGGAGTCTGTGATACGCAGAGGGAAGAAGGACATACGTATCCAGTGTAGTGGAGACATCTGGTGCGAAGACTGGAAGGTACTCAAACGCAGATTTGGCATGACGATAGTAAACATGCACGGTACCTCATGCATGTTGAAGGAAGGCAAGAGACTCATCGAGCAGGGTGGGGGATTGACTATCAGAGATCCCGCGGAGACGACTACTTTTCCTACTAAGATCAAACGTGAACTTTTGCTGCTACTGACTCGGCCTGGCGAAGGAAACTATTATGGTAAAAGGAGGACCGCGAGCTGACATTACTCTACCAGGCAACTAGAGGTTTTGAGAAAAGGAGTAGACAGAGAATGCGCTGTATTATATCGAGGGTATTGAATGAGAAAGTAGGAATTAACGTAAGAAAGAGGCTGGTGATTAAGATTCCCTACGATGACCGGATAGATAGGAAGAGAGTATGTGATTTGGCGAAGGTGAAGGTGGGAGATTTGGGTCTGAGTGAGGAGATTACTACAATTGTACGAAGACACGTACGCACTGTATGGAAGAAAAAACAGACAGTGGGTGACGTGCTTCACAACCTGTCTCTTATACACATCTAGATGTGTATAAGAGACAGCGTACGCACTGTATGGAAGAAAAAACAGACAGTGGGTGACGTGCTTCACAACCATCGGGAGTACGAACGCTCGAATGGTAGCATCTACGCCTGCGGAGATAGCCCCTTCCCGCTCACAGAAGGCCATGTACGTTGTAGGCTATCCGATCTCTATGTCCCAGACTTCCTACTGAACGCAAGGAATATTCCACCACAATGGACAAGGGAGCTAAGACGAGGAATCATGGCTGCAATCTTGGATGGCCTGAGTGAGATCTTCGGGAGCACAAGGAAGTCTCTCACCGTAAGACTCGACGAAGTGGAATCGTGCGTGAATGAAAAAGAGAAAGGCGAAGATGGCTGCTACCGGACGCTCCTGGATTGGAAAAGGCGTCTGAGAGGTCTGGTGTGCATGCCTATGGATCGTAATCATGGGGCAACATACATAGTGTGTCCGATGGTGTATGCGAGAGCGCTCCGGGACATCTTCTGGCATGGCAGCAGCTTCGAGATGAGTAGTCTAACGGAGACCGGAGCATTGGCCATGAGTAAGAGAGGGTACGATGAGCGGGGTTTGAAGAAGACTGGGACATGGAGGAAGAAAGGTCGTTTGGGAAATGTGTACATCATACCAAAAAACAAGGATCCTGGGCGATGGAGACCAATTGCGCCGGCTTGGAACTCACCGACGAAAGAAGGTGCAAGGAAAGTGGCGAAAGCACTCCATTGCATGCTGGGATGCCTCGCGAAACGAGTACACTTCAACGTGTCATCGTCAGAAGAAGCGATGCAACGTCTGGCGACATGGGCGGGCGGCCTCAACTCGAGAGAAGGAGTGCTGACGGCGACCTTCAACATCAAGAACATGTTTGCAGAACTATCACATACCACGATCCGGGGGTAAGTGGATTGGTTGATTGAGATCATGGTGTCCAAAGGATATGACAGGGTTAATGTTAATTGTCGGGGGAAGAAACCGGCAATGGGTAGCCAGGCTAGAGACGGGCACTGGTCGGTGAAATTCGACCAAGTGCATGAGTGGGTGGCATACGAATTGAAATACTCATACAGCTTGGCGGAGGGTGAAGTGATCCAACAGGTGAAAGGGATCCCGATGGGTGGCCACACTAGCCCAGCCCTCGCGTGCATCCTATGTGCCAGGAGCGAGGCTCACTTCGTACTCAGTCTGGGGACTGATAGGAAGAGGATCCTTGGGCTCAGACTCATGGATGACGTGGCATTTTTCGTACGATACCTACGACAGAAGACGGATACGGCCTGCCGAGCGAGAGATATTCTGAAGAGTCTGCAGAACAGCTATCCATCTGATCTCACGTTGGAGAGAACGGATGAAGGAGATGGAACTTTATCCTTTATGGGATGCCGGATTTTTGTGGACCAGGAAGGACCAAGAATCTCATCTGTTCTGCAGATGAAGAATCAGGAATGCCTGGTAGGCGGGAGACTGCTGGCCTTCCAGAGCATACAGGACTATGGATCCTACAGTGATAAGCAGACGAAGCGATCAATGATCAACAGCTACCTGCATCGTATGGTGAGATGCACGAATGATCCGAGTCTGCGGACTCTACCGCTACTATGCCTGGTTAGTGAATTGCGTCAAAGAACCTATCCAGGAGAGGAAATTGACAAGGCCATTCGAGGTTTTGAAGAGAGACATCACATCAGCATTCGAGAAAACCTCCATCCCACTGGGATGGAGGTGGAAG